ATGGCATCACAAGTATGGGCATGTCAGTATTGCCCATGCCTGTGATGCCATATGTATCTGCCATCAATAAAAGGATGTATTGATGCATTGGACCTTGGTGTGCGGGCGACTATCTCCTCCACAAACGCACAGGCACAGCAGGGCAAGACACTTCCTTGCTCCTCTCTCCTCCTTCCTCTCTTCTCCAAGCTAGTAGATGGATGGCTGCTGGAGATTGCTCAGTCCCTTGTGATCTTGTACTGGACAGGAAGTTCTGGGAAGCTAAGCTGAGAGAGTTGGAGCCAACTGTTCGGAAGCATGATGGCTGTAAGCGACCAGGCAAAAATGTAAAGTAACACTTTGCTGGGCAATGTATATTTGTTTGATTGAACAAAAGTTTGAGCGTTTAATATTACTTTAACAACTGATAATGATCTGCCAGCACAGTACGGATGGTTAATTATGGTAAACATAACCAAGTAGGATTTTTTAAGTTCTGGAGGCTTTCAGAAAAGAGAATGAAAAAAAGCTATGCAGCAAATTTTTTTTTATGTTATACTATGTGAATGGGAACATGTAACAAATATAAAGTAGGCGTTATCCCAATTTGACTGCTAAAGTGGAAATTGACTTTAATCCTGTTTATGTACAGGCTGGCAGAAAATGAAGCCTCGGGGAAGTCAGTTTTTGCCTGTGTCCCTGTCTGTCTGTGCTTTTTATGTCTTCAGCCAGCCTAAAAGACCAGTCAATGGAAATAATGGCCATATAATATAATGTAATATAATGGCCATATAGTATAATGTAATATAATGGCCATAAACAGTATCGGGAATTTCAGCACGTACACAATATAACATTCCTAAGGCTACTAATAACATACACAAATATTGTTCAGGTGTTCATATCTAAACAAACAAAAAAAACATTTTCCTACCTAGTAAGCAATCACTGTGAAAATTGCAGTGTGCACAGACCAAACAGATCGCAGTCTACTGCTGTTACATCAGTGGAAAAACAAATTGTGTTGGCTTATGAGTTAATGCACGTTGCATTGTTTTATTAAATAAATCGGTCTATGTAACTTTTCTGTACATCCCTTTGTTTTATATGAGCTGCCACATCTGCTATACATGACTTTGTGCATTTTAAAAACCGATGTAAAAATATGAAAAGTAATTTAAAAACTGAGACTTGAAAGGTAAAAAAAAGTCAGAAAAACGTTAAGAATTTTTTTTACAAACTTTGTAGGTTTGTAACACTCCAAAAATCAATGATTAAATACCCCCAAAACTTTGTAGGTTTGCTGTTGGAAATAAGAGACATTTATATACTATATGGTTCATCTCTATACAGAAAACACCCCATAGCAATATTAACAGATGCAGTGCATGTAATCAACGGGTGTGTGTACTAACAAATGGTTCATGTACCCCAAACTGAACATTTGACAGGTTGGGTTGGAAAACTTCCACAAATAATAGCGGCATAATACCGTGTTTCCCCGAAAGTAAGACCTACCCCGAAAATAAGACCTAGCACTATCTTCAGGGATTTCTGTAATATAAGACCTACCCCGAAAATAAGACCAAAAAAAACACCTTAATTTGATCTTCCCCTTTGACGCCAATGCACTTCATCAAAATATATCAGGGAAATGAAATCTCTTAATATTCTCTTTAGATCAGCGATAGCTACCAGTTATATTATAAGAAAGGGTTGTAATTTAGATTGCGGGCACCCACAAGCAGAACCTTACTCCCTCTATCTCAGGGCATGTCCTCTTTTCTGTACATCCCTTTGTTTTATACAAATAAATTATTATATTATACAGGGTGTAGAGTAATAACACACATATTATTACTCTATACCAGTGGTTCTCAACCTGTGGGTCGGGACCCCCTCGGGGGTCGAATGACGATTTGCCAGGATTACTGCGGAGTATGTACCTCATACCTTATATAGCCACACACTTTAAATCCAATTCTTCTAGTTCCAGCTCCAGAGCCCGGTCCTGTCTTTGCCTATAGTCTATACCCTATAGCACAAAGCAGTTTATCTGAATTTTATTAAAGTGTTTTTTGTAGTTTTGGTTGAGTGGGGAAGGGTTAGATCTCTGTCTGTTTTTTTGTTTGTTTGTTTTTGCAGTTTGTGTCCATTCATACTGGTCACAGTGATGGAAAATCCAAAAGTGATGGAAAACCCAGAATTTAATTGCTGCCGCTGTAACCAAATACAGGATAAATCTTACAATGGGGATACCTGTTTCAGTTACAACTAAGGGGTGATTTTTCCCTTTACTCCAGAGAGATTTCCTCCCACTTCCTGTTGTGTCCCTGGGACAGGAAATAAAGACAGACCTTCCCATTGGAACACAGACAGCAAAAAAAAAAGAAGAAAGAAAAGCCTGACAGGAGTTCTAGTATATCCCTATTCTAGCCAAAATGTTAAAAAACACTAACGTTACACTACATCTAAAATGTAGAAAACTGATTTGCATTATAAATGATATTGCCATTTTTCTATTAATAATATATTTTAATTTCCAGGATTTTACTATAGACACCATCACATATGACCGTTTGAGGATTAGGGATGAGCCGAGTGTTCGATTCGAACATGAAGTCGGGCCGTGTTCAGGGCAGGAGGGGCTTGTCAGTGCCATTCATGTCAATGCACACACTATTTTTTCAGATCGCACTGCACTGAAATGGAGGGCATTCCTGTAGCTCGCGTTGCGGTGCAGCTGATCGCACTGCGGGCGG